GATTGATTGACAGTAGATAGAGACAACAGTTATTTAACCATATACACCTCGTATTGTTATGACTATTGATTGCAGATATACTTCATTGCGATTGATGAGAAATGAGTGGTCAATATTATTTTTTATGATTGTTGTTGCGCCGCCACGGGCGTTACCAGAAGGATGGTTTGCGTTGTACATTGTGTAATATGGAAGCGTCAGATAGCTTGTCGATGTAAAATGAGTTTCACTAATAAGCATAACATCAATGTTTTTGTCAAGAAGAAAAGGCTAAATTTCACAACTGTGTTGGATCAGCCCGTTAGCGTTCCAAAAACCAATCTTTGGACCTCCCATTATTTGGATGCATTAGCGACAAATGCGGTTATGAGGGTGAGTATAGAGCTCATTTGTTCCATAACCGTTTTGAGCATTGATTTAAGCTCAGGAAAATCGTCTTGTTGAGCTGAGTTTACGTGCACCTAATTGTTCATATTGCTAGATTTGACAGCATTTGCAAAAGTTTGGCTTGTTTCATTCAATTTGATGTGTTGTTGCATTTCTGTTTAAGTTGTTATTTTTCTACGAAAGACTGGAAACGCTTTTTTCTCGAGTTGTTTGTAAACTGTGCACCCTTTATAGTTAGCCTGGTGATTACCTTCACAAAAAACTCACCATACATTATTGCCGGCGGTTTTGCGAGAACAATCTGAGTTCAAGTGGTTTTCATACGATTGTAAAAATATTTTGTGTGACCATAGTGCTGGCACCGAGTGCATTGCGGCAATTCGCACTTCTTTTTAACTCATTGTCGAATATTACTAATATTGACGTCTTCATGGCCGAACTAAGTCTTGTTTAATTTCATCAAGAGGTATTGAAGGATGCAGGCTCCTCAACACGACGTTGAAGCTTCTATCTTGCTTTAGCTTGTATGTGTGAAACTCCGTCTGTTTCTCTGCAAGAGCTTTGGTAACTTTTGAGTAAATTTCCGCTGTGTTGGGCTGTATTTAGACTTCATTATTACCCAATATTTTAAGTACAAACTCGTTGGAGTCGGATCATTTAGCAATACCCGAAGTGGTTGATATTACCAACACCCGCTACAAATATTAGTGATTGTTTAGAAATTTTAATTTCTTTAATTACTTCAGCATGTTCTGATGTGTCTCCCTGATTTTCAGCGTCAGAGTTGTCGAGAACCTCAAAACGGTTGGGTGTTGAAAACCAGTTGTTGTCAAGCTTTTTTTGCTTACTCGCAACGTTCTTATGTTCTGCGTTTATAATTGTAGCACTAGTATTAGTTTTCGTTTTAATGGAAATTGGTTTATTTTTTTCAGCTTTAAGTTTTTTTATTTTCTCTTATTAGAGATTCGCAACCTTTTTCTAAGGACTTGTCTTCAAGCGTATTTATCTTACGGGACAGCATCGAGTTCGTAGGTTGATCATTTTCTTGCGATGGTGATGAATTATTTACTTTAATTTTATAGCTGTGGAAATTTCACTAGCTATTTTTGCTATATTTGTTTTGGTCATTGTTTTGTGTAGAGGTTTGGTTGTTGGTTGGTTATTTATTTCAATGTCTTCTGTACTAAGCATTATATAGCCATTTGAAAAGGAAATTCTCTAAGTGTGCAGTAATGTGCTGAAAACAAATGTATCTGTGTGCATTGTAAAAAAACTGCCGGGTAATGGCATTTTATTATAACACTTGGGTCAGAATCGCAGGTTAGACAGATATTATTCGCTGTGATGAAATTGAAAGGTACAAATATTTACATAAATAGAGATCTCACAGTGGATGAACGGTCCAGAAAACAGAATCTGCGCGCAGTAGATAATGAGCTTAGAAGACTGGATCCTGGTGTTGAAGTTCGATTAGGTGATTACTCGCTTTTTATTAACGACAAATCTTGCACTTGGCGAGAAAACAAAATTATTGCTACTACTACAGGAGATGCGAAAATGATTAATAACTTGCTTACTACAACAAAGTTCCAGTGCGATGTCAAAAAAAATATAAGTAATCGTCAGCTGATGGATGTCAATCCAGCAAGAAATACCCTGGACTACATTGCAGTGGATGTTGCCTTGCAGGTGAATTCTAATTAGCAATTGACAGTGTGTCAGTCAGGTGCTTTCTTATAACGTAGCTAATTTAAAAAGTAAATTCAAACATAAGAATTTTTTCACTTTTGTTAACTTATATGTCATATTTTTTCTATTTGAAACACCTGTACTGGTCGAAAACCAAAATAACTTTACTTATTTCTTTCAAGATTATATATTGTGCTGAGTGGGAGCGTCTAAAACTCATAATGCTGGCAGAGCGCGTGGTGGTTGTCTTTATGGTTATAAAAAATGTTTAGAGAAGATATGTTCTCTTAAATTTTTAAACTTTGGTGATAATGTTGTACTATATTCTTGTGCTAATAAAGTTGATTGATTCTTCATTTTACGTTATTTAAATTGCACAAAATGGGAGGAAGATTTTTCTAAACTGGAACAATTTTTAAACTATTTTAATAAACCCGTTTACTGTATTGTTTGTGACTTAAATGTCCATGTAGCAGATAATCAAGTAGTTGATGGTAAATTATTATCCGATTTCCCATTTATTGCGGTAAGAAGAGTATCAAAAGATGTGAAGCTTAACACCAAGGGAAGAAAACTTCTAAGCTTTTTGGAGGACATCGGTGGTGTAATAATTAACAGCAGGTGTCGAGGTGATGAAGATGGGGAATTTACATACGTGGGACCAAATGGGTCAACTGTTGTTGATTTCTGCATCTGTTCATCTCAGTTACTTAGATACGTAAGCTCTTTACATGTTCTTTGCAAATCATTATTATTATTATTATTAAAAGAGTTGACGTGAAAATTGCCCAACAGCCTTCTTTCGTTTTTCATCAAGTTTGGAAGTAATTGCGAATAACGTACAAGTTCCGAAAAAAATGTGGAAAGAAGCGTGGGGAGGTAAATACAGAGAACGGTTAGAAATGACAACTTGTTCTGATTATATAAGTACTAACATGCAGAGTGATGTTAAATTGGATGTATTTCTTGAAAAAGTTCGCGAGGCGATAATTCATCCCATGTTTAAAAGAGGAGATCCCAATAAAGTTACAAATTATGAATATAAATATCTTGGAATATTAATTACGTATAACCTTTCCTACAATAAATATTTGACCTCTAAACTCTCCTTAGGTAAAAGTGCAATTAACTCGACATGGGCAAAGTATTTGTCTAATCCAAAATAACTTTTATAAATAGATTGAAAATTTTCTACACGGCAGCACGTTCGATTGTACTTTACGGGGCCCAAGTTTGGGGTTACAAAATTATGATCCAGTGGAAAAACTTTTTAGATTTATTATAAAAAAAGATAGTATTTCTACCCACTAACACCCCAACTATATGCTCCACTTAGAAACGGGTTTACCGACACAATACAAACACATTTCGCATATGTGAGAAAAATTCTTAATCTCCCCCCCACAAGGCTTCCTCGAATGGTAATATATAAGCTGAACGTATAATTAGCAAAGGTATATATTGGGCCAAAGATTGGAAAAATATGTGTTTAGAACTGGATGTTTCAATAACCAGTTTTAGGAGAATGGATCTTAAACTATTGCACAAAAATATTATAACTTTATATAAACGGAGTGAACACGATTCCTTTGTTGCGAATGCTAGGTCGGAATCTCATGACATGTTCCCACAGCTACAATATGACATTATGCATAATTTTTATTTCGAAAACACTCAGCACATATCGAGCCTACTTCTTATGTGTACAGGCGGTCTTTTTAATTTGAACGGTGGAGAATTTAATACATTCGATTGTTTTTTGTGTAATCGTCATGAAATAGAAAATATATGTCATATTATTGGTGTATGTCCAATTTTCAGAGAACATAGACCTATTTTTTTTGATAAAGCACTTCTGTCTGAAGAAGAAGTGAAAGTCTTATTAAACGGTAGCAATATTTATAAACTGTATAAATTTATGAAAAGGGTTTTAAGTTACAGAAGATTAATTATTGATGAATTTATATAAATAATAATGTTAATATTATGCATCGCATTTTGTATGCCAATCTGACACACAACAAATATGTTATTGTCAATTTAGATTTTAAGTAAAATTCTATAATTTTTTGTAAGTGCTGTATGAATTTCTTTTGAATCAATAAATAATAATAATAATAAATAATAGCCATTTAAACTATTTTCACTTATTTGAGCATGCCACAGTATAACCCAATTACGCATACACTTGTTTTACGGTTTGTTTATATGATTATATATATTTAATTATTTAAGTTTTAAAGTTATAAATAAAATTATTTATGTTTATTTACGTTTTTTAACAAAACACAAAAAAATTGCAAAATTAAAATTCAATTTGTTAAAATAAAAATGTTTAAATTTACATAAACTAAATCTCACCGTTCAAAATCGGGAACTGGTTTTTAAAAGTTTATTTTTTAATTGTAAATCGCTCAAGTATTCATAATTCTGGAATTTTAAATTTAGTATTTTAAACTAAAAGCAAAAAAATTACGGAGTGATCACCGATCGCGCGCGTTTTTAATCGTGAACATTTGTTTAGTCTTTTTTTTTTTTAAATGTAGACATTATTTATTGAATCTTTCATTTAGAAACTAACAATAAATAAATCAAATCTTAAAACATAATTTCTTATTGTTTTAATGAACAATAAATCTTTTTAAAAACAAAATTATTTTTAAACAAAATTTATTTTTTTCCTAAGCTATTGCTTTGGAAAAAGCTATTGCGACATTAAATTATTTAAAGTAAAATATGGTTAAAAATTGAAATCAAATCAAAAATCAGATTCAATGTAATTAAGTAAAATTTATATTTTAAATTAAATAAAAATTTGAAAAGTTAGCAGATGTTAATTGTGTCCTTCTTTTTTAAACGTTTGTGGCCTTTGTTTAATAAGCTTATTGGTTAGAATGATCTTGTAATTTTTAATAGGTACTCACGGCTACATCGAGCAGCTTTTTCTATTACTGTTGGTAAGCCCAAGTCTCTATGAAGGTTAGCATTTTTTATAAACCACGGTGCACCTGTTATAATTCTCAGGATTTTAGATTGGAGCCTTTGCAGTTTTACAATATTTGATGTCATCGCTGTTCCCCACATTTGAACTCGGTAACTTCACATAGGTCTTATTATCGACTTGTGTAGCAGAATTTTGTATGCAAGTAGTAGCAAGTAGTAGCATACGTTGTGCTATTGCGGGGTTTTTGTGTGCACTTAGTATTGCTGTACCGTCAACAAATGTTGCAGTTAAAGTGTTTTCCGTTGGGTTGGGATATCACTTGTATACAGTAGGTATGATATCGGACCTATTACACTTCCTTGGGAAACTCCAACTTTGATAGGACAAGGTTCTGAAACAAAATCTTTATATCTTAAACTAAAAGTTTTGTTGCTTAAGTAGTTGTTAACAAAAGGTGAGTGTTAGCTGGCATGAGAGTTGTAATTTTATGTATTATGTGTTCGTGCCATAGGTACTTTATCAAACGCTTAGGCTACATATATAAATATAGAAGTGCACTATTGTTTATCTTCAAACGACTTTTTAAAGAATGATACAATACACTGTGAGGATCAAATTTAATATATAAATTTCAACCCCACTAACTAAGTGGACAATAAAATCAATCAATAGAATTGTGGTGCAAAATAGCACTTTGCTTTCTTGAAATGTTTCTTGTCGCTTGCAATGGATAAAATTTGGGGTGCAAAATAGTATTTTGCTTACTCGAAATGTTATTTGTCGCTTGCAAATTTGTGTAAAAGGAAGCAAAATTATGGGTTTCGTCCTATTTGTGATTTAACAACATTGCAGGCCGTACCTTACCGACTCTCCGGCTTGTCCAGCACTCTCATCGGATACAACACTTCAACAATTCAACGCCTCAACAATCAGACGCTTCCGGTTTTCTGTTTTGTCCAACGATTTCAACAATTCAACGCCTCAACAATCAGACGCTTCCGGTTCTCTGTTTTGTCCAACGACTTCAGCAATTCAACAATCAAACGCTTCCGGTTCTCTGCTTTGTCCAACGACTTAAGCAGTTCAACAATCAAACGCTTCCGGTTCTCTGTTTTGACCAACGATTTCAACAATTCAACGCTTCTGGTTTATCAAACGCTTCCAGTTCTCTGTTTTGTCCAACGACTTCAACAATTCAACGCTTCTGGTTTATGTGCATCTATAATTTATAAAATCCTCATTAACTCTAATAAACATCATAAAAATACGAAACACAGTGTCTCCTGTTTCTTATTCAAAATATCTTTAACGTACCCCTGGTATACTCGCTGAGTTATACCCCGGCTATAGATAGGGCCGGAAAAGGTCGTTACAGTTGGCGCCCGAGCAGGGACCCTGAAAGAGCTAAGACGCTTTCTGGGAATGACTTCTTGGTATCGACGCTTCGTGAAAGATTTCTCAACAATCGTGCATCCTTTAACGTCATTGTTACGAAAGGGTAGGCATTGGCGATGGCAAGAGGAAAGCAGAAAGCGTTCGATGAACTAAAAAAGAGGTTAACCAAGGCCCCTATCCTACAATGCCCCGACTTCTCCAAACCTTTTTGTCTACAGACCGATGCTAGTGACTATGGACTAGGTGCCATATTGACGCAGCAACATAAAGAAGAAGAAAGGGTGATAGCTTACGCCAGCCGACGGCTAAATAATGCAGAAATGAACTATACGCCTACAGAAAAGGAATGCCTAGCCATTTTCTGGGGCATCCGTAAAATGCGGCCGTATCTGGAAGGGTACAAATTCACCGTCATCACTGACCATCTATCTCTAAAGTGGCTGAACTCTATCGATAACCCAACGGGGCGCATCGCAAGATGGGCGCTCGAACTCCAGCAGTTCAATTTCACAATAGAATACCGCAGGGGTAAATACAACGTAGTAGCCGATGCTTTGTCGAGGCAACCCTAAGACCAGATAGCATTAGCACGAACATCTACGACGGCAGCGAAACCTGATTGGGTGACAAAACGAATGGAAGCGGTTAAGCAGAAGCCACAGAAATATCCAGACTATGTTATCGAAAACCAGAATCTATACCGACACATTCCGAATTACTCCCAAGATGACGACATAAAACCATGGAAACTATGCGTCACCTCACATTTAAGACAACAGATCCGCCGCGAAAACCATGATGAACCGACGGCCGGTCATTTCGGAATCCGTAAGACAAAACAACGGGTGGCTAACAGCTACTACTGGCCTGGAATGTTTAGAGATGTGCGAAAATTTATTTTATGTTGCAATTCCTGTCAAAGATTTAAACCCAGCAAACAGCTTGCTGTCGGACATATGCTGACTCAGCTCGCCGAGGAACCATGGATCGTGGTGTGCGCAGACTTTATGGGACCTTTACCCAGATCTAAACGAGAAAATAATACACGATAAATTCACAAAATGGGTGGAACTTATACCTTTGCGCAGCGCGACGACAGCTGCCGTCCAAAGAGCGTTCAGAGAACGAATAGTGGCGAGGTTCGGAATACCAAAGATATTCATCACGGATAATAGGACCCAATTTACAAGTCATTCTGCACGTAGATTCTTCACGCAGTTAGGAGTTAAACAGCAGTTCACCGCCCCACACACGCCACAGGAAAACCCAACAGAGAGAACCAATCGCACGATTAAAACCTTAGTCAGTCAATTCACCGAAAGGGATATATACCAGAAATAACCCTGGCTATCAATTCATCGGTATCAGAGACGACAGGATTTACGCCAGCTTATTTGAACCACGGCCGCGAACCAAGACTCCCAAACAACGTGTACGATAGGCCAACACCGGGTAGCGGAAATATCATACAATACCCTAGTGACAAGGCAACGAAACTACAAGAAATTATAACTTTAGTCAAACAGAACACTCGTTGTGCAGCCGCAGGGCAAGCCAGACATTACAATCTCCGACGTCGGAATTGGAAGCCAACGGTGGGAGACAGCGTTCTACTTAAGCAACACGCACTCTCGATAGCAACCGACCACGTGGCAGCTAAATTGTCACCTAAGTTTAGTGGACCATACGACGTAAAAGCATTTAAGTCCCCAGTGATTGTAGTACTCACAAGCAAAGACCGCAAGTCTTTGCTCAGTGAAATAAAGCCACACATTAAAAGCTGCCAAGTAAAATACTACACCGACACGCTCTTACCCCAGTCCCCAGCCTCCCCAGCCTAATAAACACAAGCGGTAAGAAATAGGGGTGACTAATTTGGTGTTTCTTTTACTTCCATTACAGCACACATCAATAATTCCCACATCAACGCGCAAAATTGACTAAGATGAGTATTCAAGGAACCGAACATGCGAATGGCGAGATATATCCTACTGGCGACCCCACTCCACCGAAAACCACAGCAAGCCTGGACTCTAAGGAAAACTGGGTCATGTATTGCCGCGAAGTCTTTGGTAGCGATTCCGAAGAAGAATGGCCGTAGGAAGTTTAGCTACAGCAGGTCAAAGTGAACGGCCGATCGTGCAAACAAAAACCGAACTAAAACCACAACCAGTTCCAAAGCAACCGGCAATAAATCAACCACCAATCCGACCAACGACTTGGAGGCCAAGAAAATCAGCAAAGAGAGTTCGGGCCACAAAAATACCCATGCGTCCCAGCATTGAAGTACTTCTGCAGCAACAACAACAATATCATTCAGAACAAAAGCAAGAACTGGCTAAACCCGTGACCGAAGTAATGACACCAACTAAGAGTAATCCACCAGAAGAGTTAGCCACCTGTCCACCAACACCACCCACAGCTAAGAGAATCCTAGCACAGGTGTATGACGACAAACCAACTTCAAATCCTAAACCGGCGGTAAAAAAATACCTACAATCCGACAAAATAACGGCCGCTATAACGACCGAGATACAGCAGAGGATAGTGGTCTTCAACAAAAGGGGCAAGCAGAACTTCCTGTCCCAACACGGAGACTGTGTATATCAAGTCACTATGAGGAAGTCGGGAAAGGTAGTGGTCGCGCTCTTACCTTCGGGAAAGTAGGGAGGGAGTGTGAGGATCAAATTTAATATATATTAACCTACATCCGAAACGCACAATTGGGCACCTTAAAATTTTTAACAACAGGTGGTCACCTAACCTATGTTTGACAGCGAATGACACACAATCGAGTGAAGTAAGAAATAACGGAAGTTCGATGGGTAGCGTCGTGAATAAATATATTGTTTTAGTTAAATAAAGTTAAGTAATGTTATGTAAAAAGAAAGTCTATTAACGTTTTGTAGTTAACGCAAAAAACCAAATTTAAATTAAATCAAAGTTTAAATATATAAGTTTCAACCCTAAAACCCCACTAACAGCTTCTTGACCATGGACTTTGCATGTTTCTTTGAATAGAGTAAATGTAATATTGCTGCCATTGTCAGTTACTAACACGTTGGGAATCATGAATTTCGCGATTATTTCTTCAAAAAACACTCACGAGACTATGGACGTTTCGGCATCGGGTATGGCTACGCAAATCATATATTTGCTGAAATCGTCTTGGAACGTAAGTATGTTTCTATTTCCATTTAACGTAAGGGATAATGATCCCACGATGTCCATGTAGACTATGTCGAACGGCCGATTGGGTGTATCCGTTATCACCATTGGCATTTCCTCCAATCCCGAACTTTTATTCTTCTTACTCTTCTGATTTCGCAGGTCTTAACTGAGATCTTAATATCCTTTTGTATTCCGGCCCTTTTAAATTGACGTCTTATACGAAAGTAAGTTCGTAATGCTCCTTGATGCCCGCCTAGGGGAGAATTGTGAAACTTGCCTAGAACTTCTTTGATCTCTCTGCGATCCGTTAAGTAAACCGCGTCATCTTCTGTTGTCTGATTTCTCTCCTTCTCTTCCATTGCATCCGGGTCACTATTTGTATGTTGTCTTCCTTCTCGGGTGAAAATTCTGGGGACAATCTGCTTAGGGAATTCACGTTTAAATTCGTCTTCCCGGGTTTGTAGCATATTTCGAAATCAAACTCTAGAAGCTTTAATCTAAACCTCGCCAACCTCGTATCTTGATGTTTTAGATTCTCTGTTCTACGCAAAAGGTTTTTGGTCGGTATACACCTCAAAATGTGTCCCGAGTTGATAAGATCTGAAATTGCTTGTGGCCCACACTATCGCTAGAAACTCCTTGTTTATAGTAGAATACCTCTGTTCCGTCGCACTTAATGCTCTGCTAGCGAACTGTGGAGGCAAGCCCTTCTCAGGCTACCCTTGAGATAGAGCTGCCCCCAGGGCTTCATTACTGACATCCGTAGTTAGTATAAATGCTGCCGTCCACGTAAAATTGACTCCCCTTTTAAGTAGGTTCGT